TTTTTGAAGAAGCAGAAAGACTGTTTGTGCATGTGTGTGCCCCTAATATCCATCCTCTCTCTAATACAGGATGGGAAAAAAGGTCTGCAGACCTTCCTACAATGGGGCGCAAGTGCAAAGAACGAGGAGGCAGAGGAAGACTGGACTTGGGAATCAGGACAGTTTTCTTGGGTTTAAAAAAGCTTGAATGGCACTTCAAGACATTTATATCAGACCTGGTTTAGTTTTATTACCCTTTTTTAAATGCTGCTGTGATGTGCAACAAAAACTTGTCTTCCCTCTGCCTGGAACAGCTGAGAGATGGAACTAAACCCCAAAGGATTTTCTGCTCAGGGATTATATGTGAGTTTTATTGGGAATTCTCTGAGAAATCTGATAGATTGTTCTTGAATGTGGCCCTGAGGGTAGTTGAGCATGGCAGTCCAGACCTGCAAACAGGCAGTGCCAGAGCGAGAGCCTTTGAAATGTAAACCAGGCTGTATTTAGATGATTGAATCACGACTGTGTGCTGTGCCCAGGTCCTTTGTAGAAATAGTGTACAGGGAAAAACCAGAACTGCACATTTCTTGTGATATGTATGGAATTTTGGGGGGGTTAAATAAAAACGAGATGCAAATGAGAGAATTGCTTTTACGTGTAAATATTCTTGTCCTAAATGAGGCATCAGCTCTGTCCCGAGAGTTGAGTTAAAATTATATTTCTTTCAAGACCCGCAAGCCTTTTAGAGGCTGCAATTTGTGTCACACAGAATTCCTAGGAGCTGCCATCAGGAAATCTGTGAGCCGAATCTAGTGGAGCTCTGCTGAACCGAGTTGAGTTCAACTGAACTGGGCCGAGTGCAGCCGAGCCGAGCCGAGCCCTGCCAAACCAAGCCCCCTCCTCTCATGGCCATTAATTAGCGCGCCTGCAGTCACAGCCTAATGAACTTCTGCCTGACCCTGCACTCCCGTTTGTGGTCGTGCTGGAAGGAATGAGAAGGAGGTGTCTTTACAACCAAACTGTGGGTCTGCTGGTAGACACACCCGGATACTGATAGGTGAGAGAAGTAATGAATAGAAGTGTAAATTGCAGAGGAATTCCACTAATTGACAGACTGTTGCTCACCCAAGCCAATGCTGAATTCCTGGATTTGAAGAAAAAGAGCACAGACACAAAGAAGAAGGGGGGGATACACATCAGAAAGCCGCCTGGTTTAGGAAGTTTGGGAAGTTTGTACCTCTCAAGTACCTCAGCCGATGGGAAAGACAGAGAGAAATGTGTCTGATAAATTAGGATAAAAAGGAGGCTGCGTCCTGCACCATCTTGGGTGACCCCATGGGGAATGCCCATGGCCTTTCCCTTTATGCCAATAAAGTTACAGGACTCGCGTGTCTCCTTTTGGACATAAACCTATGGTGTTTGTGGATTAATTTTCCTGACAGGGCGATGGCCGGGCCGCCCGCGGGACACGGCAGCCGGGCAGCACCGAGCCTCGTGTGTTGAATGTGAGGCCGCGCCGCTTTCCCGACGGCGCCTCGGCCCGGCCCGCGCCGCCCTCAGGGAGCCGCGCCGAGGGGAACGGCGCGTCCCGACGGCGCCTCGGCCCGGCCCGCGCCGCCCTCAGGGAGCCGGGCCGAGGGGAACGGAGCGAGCGGCTCCGAGTGCAGCCGGAAAGAGCCGATCTGTGCCGAACACACAGAGCGGCTCCGAGGGCGGCCGAAGCGAGCCCAGCGTCGCCGAAGAGGCGAATGTTGCGCAATGCAGCCGACAGGAGCCGAGTTCAGCCGGACCGAGCCGGGTGCTGCCGAACCGAGCCGAGCTCCGCCGAGCGCAGCATCCCGGGCAGGGCGGGGCGGGCTCGGGGTGCAGCCGGGGCCCTGTGAGGCTTCTCCCTCCTGGCCCTCTCTGTAGCCCTGCTTCCTCCTCCCCGCATTTCCCTTGGTTATCTTCTTTCCCCCATTTCCCTCCCCCCAAAGCCGACTCATTCCTGTCCTGTCCCTAGCCCGCTACTCCCTTCTATTCCCCCTCTCTCCCACCTCTGTCCACGGTCCCTCTTCTCCCCCTGCCGGGCTTTCCCTTCCCCTCCCGCTTTCCTCCCCAGCCCGACGTCCCTCCGTACCCTTTCTCATCCCCTGCTATCGCTCCTCTCTTCCCGTCCCCATTGTCCTTCTTTCCCCGCGGCCGCGGGGCTCGGGGCGCCGGAGAATAAAGCCCAGAGGGCCGGAGCCCGGCGCCCCTCGGCCCCTGCAGGAGTCCCCGCACGGGGCCGGAGCTCTCGGCGGATCCCCCCGTGCCGGTCAGACACAGCGCCCGACACTGCCGGAGCTGCGGCTCTCCCAGTGGTATGGTTTAGAGTTTAGTAAATTGGTTTGATTTTTTTTTTAGTAGTTTTTATGATTTGCTGCGTGGGTTTCTGTAGGGTTTTCTTTTATTTTCGTTGCATTTTTGTGATGTGACAAGAATTGTTAGTGAAAAGAGTGTAGTGTGGTTTTTTTTTGCTGGTAGTCAGTTGGCTGGTGGAGCTACTTTGATGGTTTTGGATGATATTGGTGGGAATTTGATGCTGTTTGTTTTGTCATTTTATTTAGGGATTGGATTTTAAATGTAAAATTATAACTACAATTAAACAAAGCAAACATATACAGAAATGGGACAAAAAACCTTAAAATTTAAAACCAGACTGAATTTATAAAAATAAAACATGTAGGATAAATAGTATTGTGTATTACAGTATGATACTATATTGTTTAATAATATTGAGTATTTTATAAGTTTATAGAAATATTAATATAGATTATAAATATAAACAAAATCCCATATAAAAATATAAATACAGAACTCTGTTACAAATATATGAAGAGATACATAAAAAGAAAAATATTCCTAAATATAGAATAATATAAATCGATACAATGCATAATTCAAGGAATACTGTTTATATCTTATTATACTGTATTATAGGAAATATATAAAAATACATAAATACGGTACATCAATATGTTATCATATAATATATAACAAATTAAAAATATAAAGAAAAAATATAAATGTAAACTATTTTTAAATAGTTTAAAGTAAAGGGGATTATTTTTTAAATTTGGCAATAGACAGAGTTTTTATTATAAAAATTATGAATACAAATAATATGAAGGTAGAAATATAGCATATATACATCAAGACATATAGAAAAATTAAAAATATAAGAAAAATAAGTTGTACCAGTAGATGTGGTACATAACATAAGTAATCTTTTATCTATATTATTCAAATATTTCACGTATTATATATAATTGTGATGCATCAATAGAAACTGTAAATATAAATGTGTATGTAATTAAGCAAAGTATAAATATTCAAATATCTCAATATAGTTTAAAAAAGGGGCTTTTTTCTATTTATTTGGTTAGAGACGGGGTTTTTTGTTTCAAACAATATAAGTAATATAGAAATATATAATCAATATACAAAGACGTTTACAAAAATATAAATATGAATAATAGGAAAAGACCTAATATATAACATAAATTACATAGCACCTCAATGTCTCTTATAGATGTGCTTGTGAATGTAAATATGGAAAATGTAAAATATGTTTAAACATGGTTTTAAAGAAAGGGGCTTTTTCGGTTCCCAGTGGGTAAGAGGCAGGTTTTTTGGCGTTTATTTCAGTGGGTTTTTGGCAGGGATCCCCCCTGTCCGTTTGTGCCCCTGCCCTGCCCGCAGCCCCGCGGCGTGCCCCAGGCCCCTACTGAAGTTACACATGACACCACAGTCCCTCACCAGGATCAGTGACCCCACATCCCACCGGTAACCCTAGCTGTCAGTCCCTCCAAACCCATGGAGCAAACCCTGCTCCCAGCTCCCCCAAGCCGCACCAGTAACACAGCCCTGTTTGTCCGGACTCCACCAGTAACTCGGACCCATCACAGGCAGTAACCCAGCCCGCAGCTCCCCGGATCGCATCTCTGCTGGGAATACCTGAATCCTGGGATAAACTGGCATGCCATGGCCCTGATAAGAGTCAGGAAAAACCTTCCACCAGTCTGACATAAACAAACCCCTCTCCTGCCTCAGCCATTCTTTCTCAATTTTTCTCCTAGCTGGAAACTGTGCAGTTACAGTGAATTTTACTCTCAGCAAAACCATACATTTTAAAACGAG